GTCAATCTTCGCAAGATAGGAGCGGAGATCGACAACCGCTACCCCGTCGTCCGTCAACGGAGCTGGTACTGTAGTGTGCAAATAGGAGCGTAGAGTTGCCATCAAGGCGTTGCAATGCGGCCTTGGCAAGGTTCCGGTCGAGGGTAGAGGCATCCAAGCGAAGTCCTCTCTCGTGAGCGGGTCAAGCTCCTCAAGTCTTGACCACGGTGTCGAGTCCTCGGAAATTAGTGGCGAACTGACTGGATCACTTGCTGACGGTGTACAGGCTGAGCATACACTACCTAAGTGCACGTGGCTTGGCTGGTCTAATGGTGGTACCAGCTGGGCGGCATAATGCTCGTACGTGGCACGAGAATCAGCGACTAACGCATGCTCCCCGGTAGTGACATCGATTGCTAGCAAGGCAACTGGGTCCGGCGGAGTGAGGAGAGACGTCGCCCCTCTCCTTGCGTAACACAGTTTCCCGAGTTTGATGGACGGGGTACGCGTGCCTTGCCCTTTTCGGGGCATTGTGTAGTCACATGAGTGACGCCGTTGCACCAGAGGCAGTATTCGTACTTTGACGAAGGTCATAGACATCCTTGTTTATCTTGTAAGCCGTCCATGGCTGCTGCCCAGTTCCCGTCGATGCTGTCTCTTGTGTCGCCTTGTTCTTCCGAACTCTCTTGGGACGCTTCGGCGGGAGCGCTGCTACAATTCCTCCATCACTCGAGGATGCTGCTGCAGCGTGGAGATCATCTGTTTYTTCAKAAATCACGRCATTGTTATGTGTCGGACGTTGATAGCCCTGCTTAGCCACATAATGCGGCTGGGACTGTCGTTCGTTTGCGGCCTTGTCATCCGTTTGGATGACTAAGTTCGCACGATCCAGAATGGCCTGGAACGTGTCATAGTCGTACTCGTTGCCGAGTGCCGACCGCAGTCCCGCGCACGATCGCGAGAAAAACTCGGATCGTTGATTTGAAAAACTCAAATCGAATCCTGGCGTGGTCACTATCTTTTGCCACTTGGTTGTCCAGTCTCGAGTTGGCATATTTCCTTGAGAGCAGGTGTACACCTCGTTCATGGCCGCCTTCWCGACGTTGCGGACCATGAACCGGGTGAACCATAGCTTCTTGAACTCATTCCACGTGATGTGCGTGTGGAGGTCGGCGATGGTGCATTTGTTGGTAGCCGCCAGATGGTTCATCCAAGCCTGCGCTCCTCCAATTAGTTGCAAGTAGAGTGCCTTCATCATGTCGTCTGCCGGGACGGTGCGGCATGATGCTTCYGTGAGGAAACGTTGCCACCATGTCAAGGCGTCCGACTTGTTGTAGTCGTCGAACTTGCTGATGTCGAAGTGCGGCATCTTGTAAGTCTTTGTAGCGGCGTCCGGTCTCGTCTCCAGCTTAGTGATGTCCGTCTGGATGGAGGCCACCGTGCTACTGATCGTGTCCGGCCTACTGAAAACACCTATGTCGCCGATGATGGTGACGACGTGATCGATGCGCTCATTGAGTTGCTTCGTCGCGTCTGTCGTGCAGCCTGGAGCTTCTGAGGCGTTAGCCTCAATGCTGTTGATGCGTGGGAGAGCGGAATTCAACAGCTGATGCTGTTGCTGCTGCTGCGTTGCTTCGGCGCGGATGACAGTTGTTAAAACGGCAATGTCTTGCTGGTACTTTTGTCGCTGCTGTCGTTCCGTGCGTAGATGTGCCTGCAGCAGTGTGTTATTCCACATGATGCCTCTCATCATGCCCAGCATCAAGTTAGCCAGGTGAGTCCTCTCTGCCTCCGCCGGTGTCGGATCTGCCTGCGCGTCCGAAGGCACAAAGATCATGCCTTGGAGGAACGTTGTCCACTGAATTTCACTATGAATCAGGGACTCCGTACTGGCGGCATTCCGTTGGTCTCGTGCCTCTGCGTCAGCCTCAGCAGTCTGCTGAGCTTGGGCTGCCGCTTCATTGGCCAGCCGCTGACGTTCTGCCTCTGCTGCCTCCTGCTGAGCCTTGGCGGCAGCTACGGTATCTGTAAATATCTGTAGCCGCCCAAAATAGTCATCCAACGGCTCACTGGCCCTTCGGACCGGGCATGCAGGAAGAACTCCGGTGGTGTCCGGTACTGTCAATGTTGTACTCGATGCCGCTGGAGTCGTCCGCCTGCTGAGTCTCTGTTGCTGAGCCTTGGTTCGTGGAGGTACCGTAGGTCGAGCACGAACTGCGAGCCTAGCACTGCGCCGTGGCAGTGCCCCGGTACATGTTCCATCGACATCAGTTTGGACTGATGTGGTACTTGAGAGGTCCCGGTGGTCACAGGATACGGGGAGGGTAGGGAGAGTGAGAACAAGGGTAGAACAATCAAACAATACGCATCCCGTCCCCTGTCCCACTGATGGACTGTAGACACCTAATCAAACAGAAAATAAATTTCCCGTAAACCATTCAAAATTCGTAAAATAAATTAAGGATAAATAACGAAATACTCCTAATGATGATCAATAAAACAATGTTTGTAATAAAGATAACCAATAATCATTATTTGCAATAAAAATAATCAATAAACAATAATTGCAATCATAAACGAATTTGAAAAGGTATTATGATTAGGTCTCTTTGAGATCGCTTTGAGTCCAGGAGTTCACCGTTAATGAGTGAACTGCCCGGAAGTTGCAGTTTGAGGGTCCGATACGGCTTAGTGTGCTAAAAAATTTCGAAAATTTCAGAAGGAAAAACGCTCGAATTTTCAAAACGCAAATTTTCGGGAATTTCCACCGTCAAAATCCGATTTTTAAAAACCTAAACCTGTTTTCGGAATTTCTCAAACAAGGGGAACGAAAAAAAAATTCGCAAAAATTTCGGTCCCAACCCTAATTTTCCGCGTTTTCGCGAAATTTCCAGTTTTACGGTCCCAAAACGTTTGAATTTCCCCAAGTTGATTTAAACCCAACGATGTTCGTAACCCTAATTTCCAATACTGAAAGACAACGGAAATCCCAAAAGAAAACGAAATATAGGATTTTCAACAAAATGCCGAAAAACGGAAAGCTGAATGGAAATCAGAAACGCCGAATTTCAACATGATACTGTTTCAACCCTAATTCGTGTAAATCAGAAATCCGAAACTTAATCAATTATCGGATTAGTATCACTCAATCGGAATTCAAATAGACAGCATACCGGAAGAAAACAAAAATCCAGATTATAAGTCCGAATACCGAATTGAACGGAAATGCCGAACTAAATAGAATACCGAAAAAGAAAAAAAATTTGCAACTTTGAACTTAATAGTAGT